TATATATATATATATCAACAAATAAGAAATTGCATAGTCAAGTATTCAATAGTTCATCACTCACCAACATATTTCAACACTCCAACATGCATAACACAACACAATACTACACATCACACACTTCTCATACATTTACAACACAAGATACATGTTATTAACATTGTTTTAAGCATACTCACGCTCGACGTGATCAACTCATGCCCAAGGCTTGATACTCGTGTGGTAGAGATCCTTTAACTCATTCATGCCCGATGCTAATCCTATTGTGCCCTATGAATATAAGATAAGGCGTGTCTATGTAAATCACGCTCGATGCTACATAACCCACGCTTGATGTCATCAAGGTAGTGAGTCTTTACCTTACCTATGTTTGGCGCTATATAACCTGAAGTAGACATCATCAAGGTAGAGAGCCTTTAACTTACTCACAGCCAACATCACTCATCTTGCACTTGATGTCACTAAGTTAGAGAGCTCCTAGGACAATCACGCCCGATGCCCCTCAACCCATGCCTAACATAACTAACTCAACGAGCTCATAACTAACTCATGTTCGACACTACTTACACGCTCCCAATGTTAGTGAAACATTGAGCCTCTGACTTGTATCACGCTCAACGTGTGAAGTTATGCCTGGCGTGAAGATGATTTTTGCATTTGGTAGAATCAAGATTTAGCTCAATCACTTGTATTTCTCCAATAATTTTGACATGCAACACACAAAACAAAATGCATACACTATAATCAACTCAAGTGCAATAAAAATTTCAACATGCAACCAACAAGAATTCAAATCATCATTTTTATTCTCCTTCCATCAAGAACAACAAAAACTAATTGACAAGGAATCTTCACCTCTTAATTCATCAAAACAACTAAATATAGATGGATTAAAAAACAATCAACATATACAACACAAAATAGCCAATTTACAAGCTTCCTTTACCTTGAATTTTCTAGAGAAGAAGAAAGGGAAGAAACTTGAGAAATCCTAAACTCTCTTACGATGACTTCTTCTTTTGATTCTCAACTATGAATCTCAACTCAACTCTTACTAAACATGCTTCGGGGAAGAATTAGAGCCAATATGTGAAGTTAGAAAGAAGAATGCTTTCCCTTGGCTTTAGAGCTTCACTCTTTAACTTCTCTCTATAATTCTTAAGGATGTGAACTTATGAAGTTCAAGTCTATAGAAAACCTTAAATATCTTCTCCTAAATTTGGTCGATAATGACCTCAACTCACAACAACTACTAAGCAACTAAATTCATAATAATTTCTTAATCCTTAGAGTTTTAAAACATTAAAGCAACAAATCACATAAATCATTTGGTTAATAAAATTAAATAAACTATTAAAAATTCATAGTGTTACAGGGGCTCCTAAACTTGGTTATCCGTAAGGTCATGAATCCCCAAGCTTTTATACAAGGAAGACGTTCCCTAGTAGGTATTTTGTATCATAACCATCACAAAATAAATTATGTATATGATACATGTCATACAAGACTCGATGCATACTTATATCAAACATAGTATTCATCACATACTCGATTTAAACATCAAAACAATCACATCCTAACTAGGCAATCTCGCCCAATCTTTATCACGGCTAATTAAGCCTTGACTTAGAATTCATATCACATGACCATCACATGCTCCACACATAACTCATCAAATATTTCATAAATTCATCATGAGGTCATTTTCACCACTACATGTGTACAATTAATAGTGATTCAACACAACATTTCTGGCTAACCTATATAATTCATTCAACATTAGTATTCCCACAAAAATGTCATATTATACATATAAGCTAATAATTATGCATGAACAGAGTGACATCCGACGTGGGGTACCCTACACCCAAAGTGTAGTCTAAGTAGAGAGCACATGTTGCTATCTAGTAAGGATTCGCTTGACATGATCCTTTCGCGCCTGATGAAATTACAACAGAGAGCCCCTGGAGCTCCCATGCCCAGCGTGAACCCCTTCACACCTAATGTTAAGGTAATAGAGAGCAACCCTTGCTTTTTTTCACTCTCGTGCCTGACAATCGTTCATGGCACTCAACATAGTGTTAAAATAGAAGTTTCTGTTGAAAATATCAAATTTCGCACATGACAATCAATATACAACTTTATGAATCCCAGTTAGTAATAATGTATGATAAGCATAAACTAATAGTAATATCATCAATTTACATGCTCATATTAATTTTTCATTACTAATTTAGTTTATTTTATTCGTATAGGTACCCATAAATCACAATTTTATATAATTAGACAGAAGTACAATGACTACTTATTAATTACTTTTAATTAGGACACAACAAAATCATATAGAACACAAAACATGTTGCAACCATAGGATTAGGATTTCCTCCTCACACAACATACATGATAGAATGAGATTTGGGGCCAATATCCTACCCACAGATATCCCACACTCCAAAGCAAGATTATTTTCTCTTCCTTATCTCAACAAAGATCATCTATCCTAGGCAAAAATATTTATTCTTAATAGTTACTTGATTAAGTTGGTAGTAGTTTACGCACAATCTCACACTTCCATCCTTTTTCTTGATTGACAGCACAAGTGCTCCCCAAGGTGATACACTTGACCTAATAAATTGTTTCTCTTGAAGTTCTTTTATTTGTTTCTAAGTTCGACTAAATCCTTAGTGGATATCCTATAAGGTACTAAAAATATATGGACTGTGCCAAAAACCCATAGATTGACAATATCTTATGATTAGACTAAATTACCATGACTACTTATTAATTAATTTTAACTAGGGCACAACATAATCATATAAGACACATAACACATGTTACAACAATAGTTTTGGGGTTTTCCTCCCACACAACATACACAACAAAACGACAATAGGGGATAATCTCCTACTTCACAGATATCTCACACCTAGAGCAAGATTACACACTCTTCCTTACCTTGATAAGAAATTGCGGACAATCGCATGCTTCTAGGGTGGTCACCATTTAGATCTACCAGTAGCTCCTCAATTTCTTCAAAGCATAGAGGGTAGAGTAGAAGTGTTAAAATAACTAATGTAACCTTAATATGTCTATTACCAAAGTGTTACAACAACTAATCTGATGACAAAGAAGAAAATGAAACAAAAAGATTTTACAAGAACAAAATTAAAAAAATCAAAAGACTAAAAGAAAAGCCACCCTATTATACCAAGACTAAAAAGCTTTTTAAGCTTAAAATTTTCAACCAACACATAATCTGTCAAAAGTTATTTAAACTTAAAATCAATTCATCAATATGAAACCAAACATGTGACTATTTATTGAAAATTATGTTACCTAGTATTTCAACATGATTTTTGAACATGTGCTGTGAAGCCAAACACGTTATTAGGCTCATTTGGATTAACTTCTCATTAATCACTTCTAGAAGATAAAATAGGGAGGAAAGTGAGATAAACTTCTCCATAAGGTAAAACTAGCTTGTTTATAAGCTAATTTGTAGAAGTTCTCTCATATTAATTGTTCCAAAAAATTATTTTTTACTTTTGCAGAAATTAATTTTAACTTATAAAGAAATTTATATTATTTTTTCTTATTATTTTTTTCCTCTTAAAAGTACTTCTAGAGAAATTTTCTCAAACCAACCACTATTAAAATTAAAATGCATATGTACATCTTAAGTAAGGCCATTATTATGGTTTCTAAAACTTTGTTACTTATACCTTCCTAGAATGGAAGCCCATAGGAATTCAATTCCTGTAGTGAAAAACACTACATTAAAATGTTGGAAAACAAATATAAAAGAAATAGTAGATACACCAAATTTTATAATTGAAAGGTTAACAATAAACACTACATTTGTGGAATTGGCTGATATTTTTGGTTTCATATTTTTACTTTTTCATATGGCTCTACATTGTACATTAGATGTCTAAATAAAATCATTCAATGAAGTTACGTTCTTTGTACTCTAATTATAAAGTGAAGTTTTCATTATGGCGAAATGTGTTAAGGATCTAATTCTAAATCATTTGGTTAACTTTGATACAACAACCACTTGATCCAAAGTTTATGTTAATTATAGGGTTAAGATTTATTTTTTCAATTAAAAAGGTAGATTGTTGAATATCGTTTTCAATCTTCTTATGCAGATGCGAATCTTGGATTATATCACATATCCCATTACAAAATGCATGGGATGTGTCAAACTAGAATTGGTGTTTACACCATCAACAATTGCAGTGGTAAATATTTGTAATCATTGTGAGATGAATTTTCATTAATAACTATTATTATAAATAGAAAATGATTAAATAGAGTAAATTATAGATCTTGTATTTGGGTTAACTTATAAATCAATCTAGTTAGGTGGTGAGTGAATGTCAAATTAGGGATATATATATATATATACCAGATGTCCCGTGTAACGACTTATCAGCCACTTTCGAAAGAAAATGAGAGAGAGATGAGTCAATAAGAAATCAAGGAATTTTCCTGCTTGAACGCCGAACGAGCATTTTGCAGGGTTTAACTTGAGTTGGTATCATGCTAGAGTATCAAAAGATTCTTGCAGGTCGGTAAAATGTCGAGCAACACTAGTCGACTTCACTACCATGTCGTCCACGTATGCCTCCACATTTCTACCCAGCTAATTTGCCAAAATCATATCCATGAGCCTTTGGTACGGCGCCCCCGCATTCTTTAGCCCAAAAGGCATGACCTTGTAATAATAAGTGGCCTGATCGGCTATGAACGCCATTTTGTCCTCATCGGCAGGATGCATCCTGATCTGGTTGTAACCCGAGTATGCATCCATGAAGCTTAACAACTCATATCCCGATGCATTATCGACTAAGAAATCTATGTTGGGCAGCGGATACGAGTCTTTCGGACAAGCTTTGTTCAGATCAGTGAGATTTGTGCACATCCTCCAATTCCCATTGTTCTTTCGTACCATTACCATATTTGCTAGCCATGTCAGGTGTTGGATTTCTCGAATGTGGCCAGCTACCATCAACTTCTTTGTCTCCTCAACTATAGCTCTCCTTTTCTCCTCTCCGAATTTTCGTCTTTTTTGAATCACAACTTTCGCCTTAGGATCAACCATGAGGTGGTGACATAGGAAATCTGGATCGATGCCTGGCATGTCACTAGCACTCCATGCAAAGGCTGATATATTGTTTTTCAACATGGACACCAGTCCCTCCTCATCTTCTTTAGTCAAAGACACACCAACCTTGACCATTTTTCCTTCAGCTAAGCTTATTTCTTTCACATCCTCCGCTGGGGCTGGTCAGGAATCAAAATGAATCACCCTCGGATCTAACTCAATTGTTTGTACTCCCTGATCAACTTGTATTACATATAGGTGTCTTCTCGCCCTCAGGCTGTCCTCGTAGCATTTCCTTGCAACCTCTTAGTCTACACAAAGGACTCTGACCTTTCTGCTGGGCAAGGGGTACTTCAACTTCAAGTGGGGTGTTGAAACGACAGCACCCAACTTATTTAATGTGGGTCGTTCAACTAGAATTTTTTAAGATGACTGAGCATTTACCACTAGATATCAGAATGTAACGGTCATCATATGGTCGCCTTGTCCAAAGGTGGTCTCTAAGTCAGCGTATCCCCTAGCCATCACCTGATCACCTGCAAAACCGACTAAGGTTCCCGCATATGGCATAAAATGATCGGTCAGAATTTTCATCCCGACGAAAGCCTTCGAGAACATGATATCCACCGAGCTACCCTGATCCACCAACACATGTTTCACATTATAGCCCATGACGATTGCGAAAATGACTATGGGGTCATCCTCGTGGGGAGACACCCCTTCATAGTCGGCGTCCAAGAACGTGATGGCTGGCCGACGTGGTCGCATCCATTCTAAGACAGATAACACCGATCGGGACCGCTGATGTCGAGCCTCCTCCAGCAAATCCCCCCGCTATGGTGTTAAAATCTCCATGGACAGCCTGTTGATGGGTCTCCGATCCTTTTTCTGAAAGGTCTCTGGAAGGATGCTTTTCTTTGTGCCTGCCTCTTTTGTATCTTCTCCTTCATGCCTACGTCATCTGTCAGACGAGCCTTCGTTATGCTTTCTCGCCACGAACTTCTTCAAACGGCCCTCATTGATCAAATGCTCAATTTGCCTTCCTAGAATGAAACTGTTCTCCCATTTTGTCCTCATCGGCAGGATGCATCCTGATCTGGTTGTAACCCGAGTATGCATCCATGAAGCTTAACAACTCATATCCCGATGCATTATCGACTAAGAAATCTATGTTGGGCAGCGGATACGAGTCTTTCGGACAAGCTTTGTTCAGATCAGTGAGATTTGTGCACATCCTCCAATTCCCATTGTTCTTTCGTACCATTACCATATTTGCTAGCCATGTCAGGTGTTGGATTTCTCGAATGTGGCCAGCTACCATCAACTTCTTTGTCTCCTCAACTATAGCTCTCCTTTTCTCCTCTCCGAATTTTCGTCTTTTTTGAATCACAACTTTCGCCTTAGGATCAACCATGAGGTGGTGACATAGGAAATCTGGATCGATGCCTGGCATGTCACTAGCACTCCATGCAAAGGCTGATATATTGTTTTTCAACATGGACACCAGTCCCTCCTCATCTTCTTTAGTCAAAGACACACCAACCTTGACCATTTTTCCTTCAGCTAAGCTTATTTCTTTCACATCCTCCGCTGGGGCTGGTCAGGAATCAAAATGAATCACCCTCGGATCTAACTCAATTGTTTGTACTCCCTGATCAACTTGTATTACATATAGGTGTCTTCTCGCCCTCAGGCTGTCCTCGTAGCATTTCCTTGCAACCTCTTAGTCTACACAAAGGACTCTGACCTTTCTGCTGGGCAAGGGGTACTTCAACTTCAAGTGGGGTGTTGAAACGACAGCACCCAACTTATTTAATGTGGGTCGTTCAACTAGAATTTTTTAAGATGACTGAGCATTTACCACTAGATATCAGAATGTAACGGTCATCATATGGTCGCCTTGTCCAAAGGTGGTCTCTAAGTCAGCGTATCCCCTAGCCATCACCTGATCACCTGCAAAACCGACTAAGGTTCCCGCATATGGCATAAAATGATCGGTCAGAATTTTCATCCCGACGAAAGCCTTCGAGAACATGATATCCACCGAGCTACCCTGATCCACCAACACATGTTTCACATTATAGCCCATGACGATTGCGAAAATGACTATGGGGTCATCCTCGTGGGGAGACACCCCTTCATAGTCGGCGTCCAAGAACGTGATGGCTGGCCGACGTGGTCGCATCCATTCTAAGACAGATAACACCGATCGGGACCGCTGATGTCGAGCCTCCTCCAGCAAATCCCCCCGCTATGGTGTTAAAATCTCCATGGACAGCCTGTTGATGGGTCTCCGATCCTTTTTCTGAAAGGTCTCTGGAAGGATGCTTTTCTTTGTGCCTGCCTCTTTTGTATCTTCTCCTTCATGCCTACGTCATCTGTCAGACGAGCCTTCGTTATGCTTTCTCGCCACGAACTTCTTCAAACGGCCCTCATTGATCAAATGCTCAATTTGCCTTCCTAGAATGAAACTGTTCTCCATAGTGTGCCCATGAGTCCTATGAAAATTGTACCAATCTATTTTGAAAGGACCCGATTGACAATCAGTCGCTGCTGGGAACTCAAAGAGTGATGTGTTGTTGACGTCGTGGAGTATCTGCCTCTTAGGGACGTTTGAGTGGGGTGAACCTTTCCTGCTCATTGCTTCACGTCCACTCGCCTCTCATCCGACTGCCATAGTCTGCCTGTTTGTGATTATCTTCCTTCACATTGTAGAGATCACGTCGCTTACTCCAATCCGAGCGTGCCCGGAGGTGCTTATTATCTTCCTTATTGCTAACCCCTACTTCTCGGCTTTCAGCCACCCTTTTATTGATTTGTCCTTCCTCTGTCTTTATATGACTCAGGGCAAAAGCTCTTACCTCCGACATCCTTTGGCAATTTGCTCTCTCCAGCGCGATGTTGAACGCAGCAGATCTTAGTCCCTTCTAGAAGGCGATGACCGCCATCCTTTCATCCAAGGATGTTATCCTCAAAGAAACCTCATTGAACCTTTGCAAGAAGTCCTTCAACAATTCCTCACGTTGCTGTTTGAGATCAAACAAGTCCGACGTGATCGACGGTTTCTTCTTGTTGGCTGCAAAACTGCGCCATGAAAAGCTGACTAAAAATGTCGAAGTCGGTGATTGACCGGTCAAGAAGACCGTTAAACCAATCAAGGGTCGCCTTCTTGAGCGTGCCCATGAACAGCTTGCAACGGATTTCCATACTCCCTCCATAGATCAGCATTGGAGCTCGAAAATCTGTCAAGTGTTGGCTAGGATCCTGGGTTCTGTCAAAAGGTTCCACCTGGGGGACCCGATGATCCCTCGGGATGGTCTCGGCCTCTATAGCTTCCGAGAAAGGTCTGAAATCCCTAGGGACTTCCATCATGACATCCTCTTTCGTCGTTCTGGTATATTGGTCACTATCATAGCCTACATCTCATCAGCTCGTCTTATGATCTCCTCGTTTTCTCGTTGAATGGCCTCCTCCCTTTCCCTGGATCATGCATTCTCCTCTCTCAAGCCATTGATCAATGCCATCATCTCCTCCATGGTGTCGCAACCCGAAAATTTTCCGATCTTGCGACTAATGGTTTAGACATCCTTTTAAAAGTCTCATCAATTAAGGAATGCCCGGACACCAGACTAATCCTTAATTAATGGTTTTGAAAATAGGTTCATGGAGTCGCCACCAATATTTTACTCAAAACATTGGAAAAAGAAAAGGTTTTTAAAAGTCCAATAATGGCCTTGATAACCAGAATTGAGTTCGGG